CACGACAAGTTGAGTAAATTCTTAAATATTCTTTGTTTATATATTATAAATTTAGTTTTATACTTATTATTAATTTTTTTGTCGATATTTTTTAAATATGAGTACTTATTTGTTATTTAATAATAACTTTGAGTTAAAAATATATAATATTTTCGATAGAAAAAGAAAAATGACCATGATAGAGCATCCAAGGAGTGTTGGTATCCAATACAGACACGTCACCCCAATTGAAATGTCCATGCAATAGAGAGAGATGGGAACCTAATTACACTTTTGATAAGATTTATCTGTTTATCAAGGACATATGCAAGTTAGGGCATGCAAGGGAGCTTTTTAGGTGGCACCGTTTATGGGAGGTTGTGAAAACTAGTGCTCTTAGTTTTTTGGGCATTGAACAATCCAAAACTAGTGTTGTGTAATTCGAATCGAATTTCTCAATCTACCAAATTGGTTATTTTTGTCCATTTTTCAGCAAAAAAATTACTTTATAACTAAAACTTTACTTATAAGTAATAAAATCACTTATAATATAAGAAAAAAATTCACTTTTACGAAAAGTGCCATAAAGTAAAAAATCCTATTAATAAGACAAAAATAAAATTATAAAATATAAAAAATAAAAAATTACAAGTAAAAAATTCACTGTGTGCGAAAATTACTTATAAATACAAAAATAACTTATAAGTAAAAAAGATTCATAAAAGAAATTTATAAGTTAAAAATTTTGTGACGTATACATTTTGCTCATTGTTGTTTACGCATATTGGTATCCCCAAAACTCCCAAGCAGGCCTTTATAGTGAAGTTGATGAAGATGGAACACAATTTAGACTCGGACTATTTTAATAATTTTTATATTCGATTTTGTGGCATTTTTATTTTACCATAATGTAATTTCCTTGGTAGGACTATTTACTTATTTGATAAAAGATGAAGGACTCGTGTGACAATTCTAATTAGACTATGCATTAAGTTTATTAGAAGGGCGGACGCACACATATGGGTTCAAGGATGCTTTGGTTTATTAAATAAAAAAATAAAATAAAATCAACACTTTTCTTAATTCTTGTCAACTCTCAATAAAAAATTTACTTCCTAAATTCATGAGGAGAATTGATGTGGTTTTAGAAACCTTAGGTATTGATGGCAATCAACATAACCTCCAATAGAGAATCAATCATCTGAGTAGCTAGCTCTCTGAATATCCTATTGTAGACAAAGTTTCATTAAATTTAGGGATAATTGCAGCCATGACCTCAAAACTTTGTAGGTTTTACCGTATTCTTTTATTTGTTGCAATCGTGGTCCCAAACCTTTCAAATGCATGCAACTGGAGAACTAATGGATCGAAACCATCTATTTTCCGTTAGTTGACTAGAAAGTTAACTTTGACCTCATTTTAATCAATTTCAAAAAGGGCAAAATAGCAACTTTATAATTTTTCCCATAAAATAAGTTAAAAATTAAATTAAAAAATAAAATAAAACTTAATCTGCTACCCCCACCTTCCTCCACCACAACCCCCAAACCAAATTAAATTCAAAAAACTATTGGACCACTGCCTGCATTATCGACCGCCGTCGACCCACCGTTGCACCGACCACACATTACCATTTGCCATCAATGGAAACCGCCACCACGGCATTTTGAGAATAAGATTTGAAACTAAAATCTACATATTGAAAACAAAAATTTTGGGAATAGGAGTTCTTGAAAACCTACGTATTTAAACCAAAACCAACATCTTGAAAACCTAGCGGTGGTCAACGCTGTAGGTGAAGGTGACTCAGACAAGTTTTCGACTTTCACTGCTGCCATTTTCTGAGAAGCTTTGGATAAAACTAGCGAATTGAGGCCTAATCCACTTAAGTCTTTTACATATGTTCATTGATAAATAAACCCGTTAGCTTCAATAGCAAATCCACCAAAGCATACCCATTTAGCTTGATCACATGCCTTTCTTTCCGGTCCCTTATAGTCAAACACAAAATTTGTTTTGTACCAATGTATCTGCAATCAAGCGTCATATACCAGTTTTAGAAGCCTCCATTAGAACAACTAACAAGGGGAGAGAAGAGAACTTAGCTTACTTGAGTAGTTTTTCAGTAACCCTAGCTGGACAACCGAAGATGATCTTAGTCCTTTGTGTTAAGAAAGGCGTTAAGAGCGCATTGAACGCATAATACCAAAAAGGAACATTGATAGATATCGACATATAACATATGAACCTATCAACAAAGGTAAATAGAACGTTAGAATTTCTTTTTGAATAGAGATTATATGAAGCTAAGAGAAATGCTTACATTTCTTGCAACAAATTCAGAATAATTATCCTGCAGATTCCCTACCGCTCGTTTGGTAGCAAGTCGAAGATCCTTCCTTGAACGTCCCGAGGTGTTCTTAAGATCATTAATTTGGAGCAATGAGACGCCACCGAGCTAGAAATTAAGCTTATGGATTTGCTTCTCCATTAATTGAAACCTACATTCAAGAACCTCTCAAGGGAAAAAAAA